ATGTAGTTGACTTTATGCCATTAAGAAATGGCGTCAAAGGCTGGGGGGATGGCTCAGTGGGTACGAACACTTGATGTGCAAGCATGAGCACCTGAGCTCAAATCTCCAGAGCCCACATTAAAAAATTAAGTTCTGGGTCAGCCAGAGCTACACAGTGAGACCTGTCTCAAACAAACAAACAACCAGATTTAGCCATGTGGTGGTGTGTGCCTTATATCCCAACACTTGGGAGGCAGAGACAGGAGGATACCTGTGAGTTTGAGGTTGGCCTGGTCTACATAGTGAGTTCCAGAACAGCCAAGGCTATGTAGAGAGACCATTAAAAAACGGAGCTGGTCAGTGGTCAGGCACGTAGTGAGTTCCAGGGAGTGAGGGCTACACAAAGAAACCCTGTCTCAAAATCTGAAGAAAAAAAAAGAATGCTGTCAAGGAGCTAGACAGATAGTCTGACGGTTAAGAGCGCTGGCTGCTCTTCCGAAGGTCTCAGGTTCAATTCCCAGAACCTACATGGCAGCTCACAATCATCTGTAGCTCCAGCTCTGGGGGATCTGACACTCTCTTCCGGCCTCTGTAGGCACCAGACATACGTGCGGTACAGAAACATGTGCAGGCAAAACACCCAAACACCCAAACACAAAATGTGAGGGGGTGGGCAGCGGTGCATGCCTTCAATCCCAGCACTCGGGGAAGAAGAGGCGGGTGGATCACTGTGAGTTCAAGGCCAGCCTGGTCTACAAATCGAATCCAGAACATTCAAGGCTACACACAGAAATCTTGGAAAAAAAGAAGAAGAAGAAGATATGAAATTGAGAGGGACCTGGAGTGGGGCATCTAGAGGGATCGAGGGGTAGTAGTGGATGGAAATGATTAATATTCACTGAATAAACATACGAGACTTTCAAAAATACAAATGTTCTTTTCAAAAGTAACGAATATGATGGGGGGAAAGCGATGTCATTGTTCCTTCTTGACCCTTGGCTGAAGCTTGTAACCACAGTGATCAGTGCAGTAGAAGAGACCCAGGTGACTTCGAAGCAGTTGTTCTTCTGAGTGGCCTCCTGGCTCTGTCCACCATGTTAAGAGGACTCTTGGACCACATGGGAAGGTCCAGTGTCGATTGGTGGCAGATAGTGACAGAGAAACCTCTAGCTCACAGCCTTTACCAAAGCTAGAATTGAATTGAGTGAATTTCAAGATGCCAGGCTTCAGGCTGCCAATGCCACAGACGTGATCACGCAGAGTTGGCAGCCCTCATGCCCTGTGTTCCCTGACAGCAGGTAAAAAAAATCATAAAAAAAAAGAGAAATGATGAAGCGGTAATAAATGACAATAATGGCTATTTGAAATCACTGTGCTGTGGAGTCATTTCTTCTGCAGCCAGTGGCCCTGTGGTGGTGTGTTCGTCAAGGGTGGGTATGTCTCCTGATCATTTCTTTCCTAAAATACGTCAGTGCTGCCTGGTTCCTGAGGTTTGGGTCCCAGGAGGAATGATGAAGCAACTAAATCCATAGGGTTGGTTTCAGCACATTTCATGGTAACCCACATTTCATGGTCAGTGCCGCTCACTGACCATGGCACTCAAACATCAGTGCAGACAAGGAAGAGCCATTTGGGGGACCGGAGAGAGAGCTCAGTTGGTGGAATGTTTACCTTGCAGGCATGAGGAACCGAATTTAATGCCCAGAATGTACGTGTTACAGCTCTGACAGGAAAGGTATCCTGGCAGTTGGGATCCAAGGAATACACAAAGTCACACCTAGAACATACATCACACAAGAGATTATTGGAGGAGATGCATGAGGGTGGCTACTACACCTCAGACCAGAAGCAGCAAAGAACTGAGAGGGAGGCTGGTTTCTTGGGGGTGGAGTTTTCCAGAGTGGGGATTGGTGTGTTTTCATGTCCTGAGCTTGGGGCAAGTTCAGGGATTGGTGGAATTTTGAGCTCCAGAATTGAACTCAGGTCTTTTTGTTGTTTTGTTTTTTTGTTTGTTTGTTTGTTTGTTTGTTTTCTTTTTTTACCCTTCACAGAACCCACATTTTTAGAAAGCCAAGAAATGGTGAACTGCCCTTGTAATTTTGGGGGTGGCATAGATAAGTAGATGCCTGGAGCTCTGTGAACAGCCAGCCTCTTTGATGAGTTCCAGGCCAGTGAGAAACCCCTACCGTACCTATGGCCTCCACACACATGCACGTAAACCTGCACACAAACAAGAGTCTCACACACAAACTGAAAGGAAGAAAGAAAGGAACACAGGGGGGAAGAGAAGGACAGAAGGAAGAAGGGAGAGGGGGAGGCAGGAAGGAAGAAAAGAGAATTCCTTCTTTGTAGCCATTGCTGCTTTTGTGTCAAGAAGCCCATGAGACTTTGACCAGCCCAAAAGAAGGCTAAGATCTCCCATGCATCATGGGAAGGCTAAGATCTCCCATGCATCATGGGAAGGCTAAGCCTTCCATTGCATCATAGAGTCCCAGGCTGAGGCTATGGCTGTGCCAAAAGGAATCTGAAAGGCTGGGTATACATGGTGGATAGCCCAACAAGCCTGGCTGAGAGCCAACAACCGTACTAAAATCCTAACCTGCTCACCACCCTGATAGAGCTGCTACCCCAAGATCAACAAGACCTACATCACTGTCTTTGTTCTCAGCTCTGCTCCTGGTCACAACACACTCCCTGTTTCATGAGTTTTAGGATGAGTACCCTCGGCCTGGGTTGTACTTTGGCTGGATTTTGCCTTTTTTGATCTGTTCTTTTCTGTTTAGAAAGAATCTTTCTATGCAGCTAAGACTGCCCCAGATTCACAACCTTAGCGTTGGCCTACCATGTTCTGGGATTTCAATGTGCGCCACCATGCCCAGCTTGCACAGAATACTCAGTTCATGATGTCACGCTGCCTTCAGCCCCTGAACAATGCTCCCATTGACGCTAAGAATCTGTGAGCGGCGTGGGTTGAGTCAGGAGAATCACCATGATAACCGAGAGAGAGGAGGAGATGCTCAGCTCACCACAGAGAGCAAGTATCAATCAAGAACACCAGGCACAGGAGTGACCCACGGTGAGGATGAGCTGGGGTGTCTTTCTGCAGTCATCAGGCCCCAGAAGAAGCTAAGCATGTTCTTTGCTTCCATTCCCTCATCTGTAACACAGAGACCTTTGCACTAAGACTTTCTAGCGACCTTGCTTTTTCTGGGTATTATAAATACTACGGAAAAAAAATCTCATGACTGTCTTTTAATATTTATTTATTTTGTGTGTATGGGGGCTTGCCTGTATGTATATCTACATACTACATATATGTCTGGTGCACACAAAGGCCAGAGAGGGTGTTGGATCCCCTGGAACTGGAGTTACTGACAGTTGTGAGTTGCCATGTGGATGTTGGGAATTGAACCTGGGTCCTTTGGAAGAGCCGTATGCTTTTTGTTGTGGTTGTTGTTGTTAAGACAGGGTTTCTCTATGTAGCTCTGGCTGTCTTGGAAGTCTCTGTAGACCAGGCTGGCCTCAAACTCACAAAGATCCACCTGCCTCTGCCTCCTGAGTTCTGGGATTAAAGGCAGGGGCCACCACCACCACCCTGAGCATTTGTAACTTCTGAGCCATCTTTCTAGTCCTAATTAATCATATACTTTTATGGAAGAAATTAACTTTCTTGTAAGCACTTTGAAGCAGAAATAACTGAGTTATGAGATTGAGAGTAGAGACACTGGGCCTGGCCTATAGCCATATAGTGCTCCTTTTAACTATGGAAGATGCAGTCAAGTCTATAAACCCAAGAATGCACAATTATTGCTGTCTATAGCACGCACAGACAGTGGATAATACATAATATTAATCATGTCGATTATCTAATATTCTACTCCCGGGGAATGGCCTTCCTGCAAAGAATAGCTGTGTCTGCCTACATTTACATTCAGGACTGTCTCAAGTGTCACGGCAGCCTTGATGTTTGTCTCTGCTCACCATGCAGAGAACCAAATGGTCTGGTCTGCAGACCCAGGCTTCTCTGAAAGCTGAATGCTTACCCTACTCCAGTTGATAACAAGAAGTATGGGGCTGGAGAGATGGCTCAGTGGCTAAGAGCTCATCCTGAGCTGCAGAGAACCAGAGACCTGTTCCTAGCACCCAAGATGAGCCACTCACACCCTTTAACTCCAACTCCAGGGGATCCGATGCCCTCTTCTGACCTCTTCGGGAACTGCACTTGTGTGTACATACCCACACACCTATGTTTAAAAAGAAGAACAAGATCTTTTTTTAATGATGGAAATGAAAATATACCTAAAAACGAAGCTTCTGTCTTCTGTCATTCCTCAAACTTGGCCTTGGCCTCTCTCCTGGACTTACGTTTCAGAGCTGGGTCTCTGAAGACATCCTTGTTGACAAGAGTTTTGTCCAAGGGTATAGCCACAAAGTACCTTGTAGACATGAAGTGATTGTAGTTAAACTTTCACAAAGGACTTGATCTTTGATCTCTAGGCGATTTTCTTCTTGCTCATAGCAGCTGTCACTTTTTGGGGCTAGGGGTCAAGCCCAGCCACCAGGGCATGGCTGTAAGGGCAGTCTGAAGTGTCATCATCAATATTATTCACAATGACAGCTTTGCGTCCAGAGTAGCACCCAGCAGGGACTAGCACCACTTTCCCAGGTTTCATGAACTTGCCCATTTTGAGGGCACGCAGCTGGCACCCAGCAGAAATGAAAGAAGGACCCAGAATCTTTTTAATAAAAGAACAAGAAATATAAAGACCATGCTTCCTGTCTTGTCTTAGATATATTGTGTTCCACTCAAGACAAAGAGTAGCAACACATAGAAATTAGTTGAAAAAAAAAACTGTTATCAAACAGGATCAGAGAGAATTCAGCTCCACACAGCTGAGCAACACACAGACCTGCTTTGGCTGCACTTCACTGCTCACGGCCCAAGGCCATTCAGAGGCCAATAAAGGCTGGAGCTCAAGAACACCAACCCAGACCCAAGACTTTTTCCCTATCTCCCAGACATGAATCTCCTTTTTCCTCTCTTTGCCAGCCTCATGCTACAGTGTCAGGTGAAATCAGGTAAAGTGGGCTCCTGGGTGCAGGGAGGGTGGGCGTGAAGAAGCAGGATTGCTCTTGCCTGTGGTGCTGGGACCCCTAAGTGATACTGAAAGATGACATTCCCAAAAGAGATGGCTGGAGAGATAACCCAATCCCAAGACTGTCTGATGGAGACACCAAGAAGCTACAGGGAGAGTGGAATATTGTTTGTGTGTTCAGGAACTGGATGGCCTATTATGCAGCCTTCCTGCTCTGTGTATGTATATGTCTCTGAGCTTGCAACTCAGCCTAAGTCTTGTGAGCTCTATTTCTGACTTAACCATTTATTTTTTTTAAGATCTCTATGGTATGCGTGTGTGAGAGAGAGAGAGAATACAGTGTGATATGAACCTATGGGCACATTTATGTGGAGGTCAGAGAACAACAGCAGGTGTCAGTTCTTGCCCCTATCTTGTTTGAGGCAGGGTCTTTTATTGTTTGCCACTGTGTACACAGGCTACCTGGCCCATGGGCTTCTGGGGGGGGGGGTTCTCCTGTCTCCCCTTTCTGCGGCACTGCAGGGATACGGAGTTACACAAGCCTGCACCACTGCATCTGGCTTCACGTGGGCTCCGAGGGTCACAGCTCTGGTCGTCATACCTGCACAGCAAATGCTTTGCTTGCTGAGCCTCTCCTCAGCCTCCGCAAAGACCTTCTCTTAATGCAAAGGCCCAACTGGCATATACCTCTGTGCATGCAATTCTTGCCTCTGTGTTCAAACAAACAAACAAAAAAAAAAAAAACCTTTTCGGACTTAGTAAGCATGTCTATGTCTATGTCTATGTCAGGTTTTCCAAGAGAGTCTTATGATTTCTCTCTGTGTCTGTCTCCCTGGAAACCCTCCAACTGCCATAAGAGTGACTGAGGACACATACATTATAGCACATGAGAGGACAGAAGACTGGCCACTGTCCTTGAGAAAGATGGAGGCTTGTTTCTGTGAACAAAACTCACCCAGCTACTTGGAATCGTCACAGAGTCAGACACAGACAACAAAGAGTCAGAGATGTTTGAGATGTTTTTATTTTGAGAACGCAGGCAGGGAAGTCTGTGTCCCTTTGAGAAAAGTCGCTCAACCATGTCAAGCTTCAAAACTGATGTGGTGCGACTGTTTCTGGTTCTAAAATGTCCCTGTTTTGTACACCATTGAAGAACAATGGTGAAGATGTATAGCAATAACAAAACAAATACATGCGTGAGAATATCTTTGGAAATTATGTTTTATCACCCATTCCCTTCCACAGCAGGATGTTGACAGACCCAATCTTGTGTAGGTTGTCACGGATGCTATAAGCTTCGGAAACTATCTGATGATAATTTCCATGAGCTAGGTCAAAGGCCAGGGGCTTCAAAGAAGATACTTCTCAAAACCCTATTAAGTCTGTTTTAGCATCCTTTCTTGATTTATTTCACTTAACATAAGCCCCCATTCCACTTATTTTGTTGCAAATTATCATTCCATTCTTCTCTATGAGCACTCAGAAGGAAGAGTAACGCATGTTGTCTCATGTGGAAGACAAGAAATAGTCCAGCGGAATATACGCTAGTGACTCCCCGAGCTTGGACAAAGGAAGGCTTGCTTTGATCAGCATGCATCGTACACATACTGAGCTCTCACACTGAACTACCAATGTGTTCACAACTAGCATATGTTAAAATAACAAACATGATTCTTTCTTGGATTAATTGCATGGCAGATTGTACAGACATTGGTGTTTCACAGGATTATCAAGGAGGGTGGGAGACTCTGCTGGTGTAGAAGATGCAAGATTGGCGGTCAAAAATGCTGTCTTATGGGTGGAGGTGTATCTCAGTGGGAGAATGACTGCCACAAAGTCCTGGGTTCAAAGCCCAGTACCACCAAAAATAATAATAATAATAATAATAATGAAATGAAGGGAGGGGGGAAGGCAGGAGAATGGAAGTGGGGGGAGAAGGAAGGAGAATGGAGGGAAGAAAAAGAGGAAAAGAAGGAGGGAGAAAGGCAAAGAAAGAGGGCAGGGGAGGGAAGGAAGAATGTAAGGGATGGAGAGAGAGAGAGAGGGAGAGAGGGAAGAAGAAAGGAAAGAAGGAAAAAGGGAGATAAAGAAGGAGAGAGAAAGGAGGAGGGAGGGAGGGAAGGAGGGAGGGGCCATTCTGAAATCAAGGACTTGGGTTTCATATCTTTCCTTCCTCTTTATAATAAGGGGGGAGGGGTGCGTGCGCATCAGGTGTCTTTCCTCAGGTACCATTCACCTTGTTTTTGTTGTTCTTGAGACAGGGTTTCACTGTGTGGCCCTGGCTGAACTCTTTTTGTAGACTAGGCTGGCCTCAAACTCACAAATATCCACCTGCCTCTGACTCTGAAGTGCTGGGATTAAGGTAGCATAGCCTGACTCATTCTTTTTTTTTTTTGAGATGGGATCCTTCTTTGGCATGAGGCTCACACCAATCAGCTTAGGCCAGAAACTTGTCTGTCTCTCTTTACCTTTTCTGTATCTATTCTTGGGATTGAACTCACTTCCTTATGCTTGCACAGCAAACACTTTATCAGCTGAATTATTTCCCCAGCCCAGTCTTGGATGGTTGTAAATTTGAAACAAGATTTCACTGTGTGGCCCTGGCTGTCCTAGAACTCACTCTGTAGACCAGGCTAGCCTCGAACTCACAGAGATCTGCCTGCCCCTTCCCCCAAGTGCTGGGACTAAAGGCATGTGACACCATTTGTAGAGTTACTCAAGGAAAGGAGACTCAAGTGATTTATTTGGAGCCCCCCACTGTATAGTGGATTCCAGGTCTTCCCTGAAGCGCCACCATCACCAAACACTGTCCCTGAAGGCTAACAAAGCCCTCTCACTCTGTCCCCTCCTGCCAGCAGTCTGAATATCACTTCTAAAATTAACTCTGATCCAGTGGTTTCTCTCTCCCCCCATGCAGAATTTTTGGTTATAAAGAGATGTTTAATGGGCTTTGGGAAGTGCAAAGACAGCTGTCTCACGGAGGAAACGGAGATACAGAGCTGTAAGACCAAAAAATGCTGCATTGGCTCCAAAGTGACCCAGCTGATTAAAAGCTACCTGCGACACGAAATACCCCACATACCCGACCAGGAAATCGTGGAGATGATGAAGAGTGGAAAGAATGCCAGCCAGGAGATGAAAATAAAACTCGCCTTAACCACACTCTCCCAAATCCAACCCACCAACCTTCTGCCCACTATCAACTACCCCGTGAAAGGTGTCACCACCAGGTACCAGAGGTGCTGCATGAAGCGTACCGCTCCTGCCAAGAGAAGCACCAGACAAAGCAGGAAGTCTGCCAGGGCCACCCCTCAGCCCTGACCCGGACCACCTTAGATGTGCCCAGCACCCCAATGGCAGCGGAGAAGCAGATAAGCAGGAATCTTTCTGCTAGGGCGTCAGGCTCCTCTCTACCTCCACAGGCATTAAAACGACATAACCATTCTGTAAGCACACATAGAATAAATACCGTTGACACCCCAGTTTGTGTGATGTTATCATTCTTGCAGGAGGCCCCAAGAGGACTGTGCCAGGGAGGGAAGAGCATCGGGCCTCATCATGTGACACTCGTTTAATGGGCTTTTCCTGTTGCCATGGGAAGGAAAGGATAAGACACGTTTCCTCATATTGTAGAGCTTGGGGAAAGGGCCCTGTAAGCAAACCAGGACACGGAGAAAACAGAAGCTGGTGACACTCATTTGAATAACTTTTTTTTTTTTTTTTTTTTTAGTGTAGCATGTCTGAAACAGTATCTTATCAGTACAGAAACCATTCTGACCATTTTTCAGCTGTTCACCCTCGATTACCATCAAGGTATTCATTCATTATTGGAAAAGCCAATGTTTTAATGTCCGCCAAAATTTTGTTTTGTTTTTTTTTGTTTGTTTGTTTTTGTTTTTCAAGACAGGGCTTCTCTGTGTAACCCTGGCTGTCCTGGAACTCGCCCTGTAGACCAGGCTGGACTCAAACTCACAGAGATCCGTTTGAATCTGCCTCCTGAGCGCTGGGATTAAGGACATGTGCTCCACCGTCTGATGGTCCTTCCTTTCTTGATCCATCTCTTTCCATTTAATTTTTGGCAATTTCACACATCTATACATACTCGTCTGCAGTAGCCAGAGAGTGTCTCTTTGAAACTAAATTATTTTCTCAAATCATGTGTGTTTTGCTTGTTTATTTGTTTTTGGTGCATCTACTGTAGGGTTTTGTTTTGTGGCTAAGACACACCTTGGACTTCATTCTTTTACGTTAATAAAAGCTTGCAATTTTGAATATATATACTTCCACCCACTCCTCCCATACCCACATTGAATTTTGGTGGTGATGATGGTGGTGGTTGTATGTATCTGTGCGTGAGTGCGTGCGTGAGTGTGTGTGTGTGTGTGTGTGTGTGTGTGTGTGTGTGTGTGTGTGTG